CATGATTTTTACAGCTCTCAAGGGAACCTCCTCTCTTATTGCAAAAGTCGTTAAACATCGTCGTGACAATCCACCAATCCAAGGTCAGGAACTGATCATAGACTTGGTGATCAAATACAGCGATGGCGATGACGAGCTTCTCAACAGTGATGCCATCAGCTACACAGTTGGAGGTTTTCATACGACCGGCAATCGTAGGTTTTATATATGTTTCCCTATGCTTCATTTTGTTGCCATTTTCAGTGCAAGTAGCATTAATTTTAATCTTTTGATAAAAGTTGATTTTAATTATTTTAAAAACTGACATCATCCAGGTGTAAATAGTACTATAGTTAGGTCAGTTGAGTTTAAAGGACATCATGAGAGCTCGCAAAGTTCGATAACAACTATTAAACGTCTGTAATTTACTGAATTATGACCCTTTAATAAATTGCTGAAACAGTATCCGTTCAATGCATCCAGTAATTTTAAACTGATAAACTTTCTCGGAAATAAACACACAAATATCGATACAATTTCCATAAGTTAATCGATAAAGATATTCAATTCATATTTTGTAATAGTCTTACATCGAACGGTGAATATTATTGAATCACAGTGTTAATTTTGCTATATCGATCTGGTAGTTAGTCGGTCCCGTGGAGATATCACTACGCCTGTGTTACGGTCGCATAACACTGAATTGGCTTTGATAGTGTTATATTGTGGCAATGCAAAGCAAATTTAAATATTACAGATGTGATAGTGGTATTCCGTATTTATAACCAGTATTGCTGTTGTAGTGCTTACCTGGGCATTCTATTTTCTGGCGTCTCACCCTGAGGTACAGGAGAAGGCATTCCGGGAAATTAAAAAAGAACTGGGAAACAAGGAGGTGGATTAAACCAACATAGACGATCTCCCGTAAGTCTGTTTAGGATGTGGATAAACCAACATAGACGATCTCCCGTAAGTCTGTTTAGGATGTGGACTACACCAACATAAACGATATCCCGTAAGTCTGTTTAGGATGTGGACTACACCAACATAGACGATATCCCGTAAGTCTGTTTAGGATGTGGATAAACCAACATAGACGATCTCCCGTAGGTCTGTTTAGGATGTGGACTACACCAACATAGACGATATCTCGTAAGTCTGGTTAGGATGTGGACTACATTAACATAGACGATCTCCCGTAAGTCTGGTAAGGATGTGGACTAAATTAACATAGACGATCTCCCGTAAGTCTGATTAGGATGTCGACTACACCAACTTAGACGATCTCCCGTAAGTCTGGTTAGGACGTGGACTACATTAACATAGACGAACTCGTTAGTCTGGTTAGGATGTGGACTACATTAACATAGACGATCTCCCGTAAGTCTGGTTAGGATGTGGACTACATTAACATAGACCATCTACCGTAAGTCTGGTTAGGATGTGGACTACATAGACGAACTCCCGTAAGTCTGGTTAGGATGTGGATTACATTAATATAGACGATCTCCCGTAAGTCTGGTAAGGATGTGAACTACATTAACATAGACAATCTCCCGTAAGTCTGGTTAGGATGTGGACTACATTAACATAGACGAACTCCCGTAAGTCTGGTTATAATGTGGATTACATTAACATAGACGATCTCCCGTAAGTCTGGTTAGGATGTGGATTACATTAACATAGACGATCTCCCGTAAGTCTGGTTAGGATGTGAACTACATTAACATAGACGATCTCCCGTAAGTCTGGTTAGGATGTGGACTACATTAACATAGACGAACTCCCGTAAGTCTGGTTAGGATGTGGATTACATTAACATAGACGATCTCCCGTAAGTCTGGTTAGGATGTGAACTACATTAACATAGACGATCTCCCGTAAGTCTGGTTAGGATGTGGACTACATTAACATAGACGAACTCCCGTAAGTCTGGTTAGGATGTGGATTACATTAACATAGACGATCTCCCGTAAGTCTGGTTAGGATGTGAACTACATTAACATAGACGATCTCCCGTAAGTCTGGTTAGGATGTGGACTACATTAACATAGACGAACTCCCGTAAGTCTGGTTAGGATGTGGATTACATTAACATAGACGATCTCCCGTAAGTCTGGTTAGGATGTGAACTACATTAACATAGACGATCTCCCGTAAGTCTGGTTAGGGTGTGGACAACATTAACATAGACAATCTCCCGTAAGTCTGGTTAGGATGTGGACTACATTAAAATAGACGATCTCCCGTAAGTCTGGTTAGGATGTGGACTACATTAACATTGACGATCTCCCGTAAGTCTGGTTAGGATGTGGACTACATTAACATAGACGATCTCCCGTAAGTCTGGTTAGGATGTGGACTACATTAACATAGACGATCTCCCGTAAGTCTGGTTAGGATGTGGACTACATTAACATAGACGATCTCCCGTAAGTCTGGTTAGGATGTGGACTACATTAACATAGACGATCTCCCGTAAGTCTGGTTAGGATGTGGACTACATTAACATAGACGATCTCCCGTAAGTCTGGTTAGGATGTGGACTACATTAACATAGACGATCTCCCGTAAGTCTGGTTAGGATGTGGACTACATTAACATAGACGATCTCCCGTAAGTCTGGTTAGGATGTGGACTACATTAACATAGACGATCTCCCGTAAGTCTGGTTAGGATGTGGACTACATTAACATAGACGATCTCCCGTAAGTCTGGTTAGGATGTGGACTACATTAACATAGACGATCTCCCGTAAGTCTGGTTAGGATGTGGACTACATTAACATAGACGATCTCCCGTAAGTCTGGTTAGGATGTGGACTACATTAACATAGACGATCTCCCGTAAGTCTGGTTAGGATGTGGACTACATTAACATAGACGATCTCCCGTAAGTCTGGTTAGGATGTGGACTACATTAACATAGACGATCTCCCGTAAGTCTGGTTAGGATGTGGACTACATTAACATAGACGATCTCCCGTAAGTCTGGTTAGGATGTGGACTACATTAACATAGACGATCTCCCGTAAGTCTGGTTAGGATGTGGACTACATTAACATAGACGATCTCCCGTAAGTCTGGTTAGGATGTGGACTACATTAACATAGACGATCTCCCGTAAGTCTGGTTAGGATGTGGACTACATTAACATAGACGATCTCCCGTAAGTCTGGTTAGGATGTGGACTACATTAACATAGACGATCTCCCGTAAGTCTGGTTAGGATGTGGACTACATTAACATAGACGATCTCCCGTAAGTCTGGTTAGGATGTGGACTACATTAACATAGACGATCTCCCGTAAGTCTGGTTAGGATGTGGACTACATTAACATAGACGATCTCCCGTAAGTCTGGTTAGGATGTGGACTACATTAACATAGACGATCTCCCGTAAGTCTGGTTAGGATGTGGACTACATTAACATAGACGATCTCCCGTAAGTCTGGTTAGGATGTGGACTACATTAACATAGACGATCTCCCGTAAGTCTGGTTAGGATGTGGACTACATTAACATAGACGATCTCCCGTAAGTCTGGTTAGGATGTGGACTACATTAACATAGACGATCTCCCGTAAGTCTGGTTAGGATGTGGACTACATTAACATAGACGATCTCCCGTAAGTCTGGTTAGGATGTGGACTACATTAACATAGACGATCTCCCGTAAGTCTGGTTAGGATGTGGACTACATTAACATAGACGATCTCCCGTAAGTCTGGTTAGGATGTGGACTACATTAACATAGACGATCTCCCGTAAGTCTGGTTAGGATGTGGACTACATTAACATAGACGATCTCCCGTAAGTCTGGTTAGGATGTGGACTACATTAACATAGACGATCTCCCGTAAGTCTGGTTAGGATGTGGACTACATTAACATAGACGATCTCCCGTAAGTCTGGTTAGGATGTGGACTACATTAACATAGACGATCTCCCGTAAGTCTGGTTAGGATGTGGACTACATTAACATAGACGATCTCCCGTAAGTCTGGTTAGGATGTGGACTACATTAACATAGACGATCTCCCGTAAGTCTGGTTAGGATGTGGACTACATTAACATAGACGATCTCCCGTAAGTCTGGTTAGGATGTGGACTACATTAACATAGACGATCTCCCGTAAGTCTGGTTAGGATGTGGACTACATTAACATAGACGATCTCCCGTAAGTCTGGTTAGGATGTGGACTACATTAACATAGACGATCTCCCGTAAGTCTGGTTAGGATGTGGACTACATTAACATAGACGATCTCCCGTAAGTCTGGTTAGGATGTGGACTACATTAACATAGACGATCTCCCGTAAGTCTGGTTAGGATGTGGACTACATTAACATAGACCATCTCCCGTTAGTCTGGTTAGGATGTGGACTACATTAACATAGACCATCTCCCGTAAGTCTGGTTAGGATGTGGACTACATTAACAAAGATGATCTTCCGTAAGTCTGGTTAGGATATGGACTGCATAAACATAGACGATCTCCCGTAAGTCTGGTTAGGATATGGACTGCATAAACATAGACAGTCTCCTGTAAGTCTGGTAAGGATGTTGACTACATTAACATAGACGATCTCCCGTAAGTCTGGTTATGGTGTGTACTACATTAACATAGACAGTCTCCTGTAAGTTTTGTTTAAATGTTGACAACATAAATATGGAAAATTATCCGTTACTCTAGTTAGAATGTGGAGCATAGAAAATATAACGCATAGGGGATAAAATACACCATGTATGCTTATATTGACTGTCAAGAAAACTTGTGATGACATAATGATAAGAAAAATATACAATGTACTTAAATATACGTATTATTTATTGATGCCATTGCTTGTTTATAGCTATCACCTGGACAAACAAAAGAAACATATTAACCCTCTAAAATAACTACTAGCGGTAAATAAAGGTTACTAGGCACATAATTTGCTTCCTCGTTGGATCATTCTCTTCAGACAGATGCCATTAGAAACGATATCTAATAAGTGTATGAGGCATTTTCTAATTTAATGTTCAGGTATGTCCGCCAGATTGTGGACGAGACACTAAGATGTGCTGTTGTCGCCCCATTCGCCGCTCGGTTTCAAGATTTTGAATCGGAACTTGGCGGGCACAAGATTACAAAGAATGTAATGTATTGTCAACTGAAATGAAATGCTTAATGAATAACTGTTCTAGTATACTTATTATAATAAGTAAGAAGGTTCCATCTATGAAGTGCTTGAGATAACAAAGTACACAGTGTAATATTCCTAGCAAATACAATGTAATGTGCGAAATTAACACTGGATTAGCCTTATTAACTCTGCTATCTTCTTTCCTTGATAACGTTTCGGGAACGAAAGGTTAATAATTGAAGAAACACATATTTATAGAAAATTGGAAACATGTTCTTGTTACGCTAGCTGTCTATATAGATGAACAATAATATTTGAAGCGGATTCATTTTCAAAGATTGATCTATTTTAAAATTGTCATTTCTGTAAATATATAATGCAATTTTTTAATCCATGTAAATCAACGTCTTTTGACAGACGCCTGTGATCCATTCCTTAGGTGTGACAATGAAAGACGAGAAGTATTGGCCACTCCCAAATAAGTAAGTGACTGCGAATGACATTAGCTAAATGACATATTTTCAGTCAAATTTAAGACATGTCTATCTATGAACAAGTTTGGCGGTAGTCATCAGGATCTCGCAGGGAAGGATGCTATTTCTTTGTGTGATATGTATGATATTTTTGATGAAACTCAGTAGCGTCTTGTGGTTTTGTTGTCACTTCCTGAGTTCTCGATGCGAGGACGTGACATTACATAGATTCGACTTAGATTTATATGGCGGTTGTCATTGATGAAGCAGCTGAAGCTTACCCTTCCAGAACACATTCCTCCTTGTAGTTTTTCAGGGCTCACCTTAGCAATCCTTCCTTTTTCATATTTTGCCTTAGTTTGGTGGATTTTGAATTCAAATTGTGGTTTTGTTGACGCTTCGGTATTCTTTTGTTTTGTTTTGTTTTTTAATTGAACGTGTTTCGTTCGAAAAGAAGAAACTGATTGCTCTATTATTTGCCTGTTCACTTTGATTTTTTTCATAATCTTGACACAATTGGTTTCAGCAATGTCTGGATATAATGGAGCTTAATCATAAGTAATGTGTTCCTTTTACAGGTGCCAAGATACAGTATCAATATTGAAATAGACTCTTCGCAATCGTAAATTCAAGTTTTTGCAAATAAAAACCTTTATCAATAGTTCACAAAATCAATTACATGTGAAAATATAGTGATTAAGTGATAGCTGACATTTAGGTGGTAGTCAGGTTTTTTAAGAGGCGCCATTAATCTCCGCCAGTTATCTCAAGAACCCATGCTTCTTCAGGTTTTGATTTTCAACTTAGTTTAACTTGGTGTATTCTGAACGTAGGCATAGCTGCCTCTATACTCAGATAATAGTCCATATTTACTTAATCATCAATTATAAAAATGTTTTTGATGTGACATCAATCTAAAGATGCTGCGCATCTCCTTGCATCACTTTCCCAAACTCTATCAATGCAGTTTTCAAAATTATTAGATTTGGTGCTTGAATCACGTTCTGATGTAGGGAATTCCAGTTGCTAATAATTTCTTGAGTAAATGAGTATTTTCTAACGAGTGAATATCCTCAAGTCTTTTTATCTTGTTCCTCCTCTATTACGTCTATAGAATAACGACGGGAGTTTAAGACGACACAATCTTTCCTCATATGAAAAATCATTCATTCCTGGGATTTATTTGGGGGTTTTTTTCAGATTATTTTTTAGGTTAATGAAGTCAGAGGTACCATAGCTGTTAGTCATGAATTACAAAACATCTGTTTCCATGTTACAGTTCCTTACACAATTTTTACATTTTCAGGTTTGACCCAGACCGTTTTAGCCCTGAAAACAAGAAGACTCGACCTCCTCTCACCTTCCAGCCGTTTGGATTTGCAGGGAAACGTGTTTGTCCAGGTTATCGCTTTGCTTATGCAGAGGCAACAGTCTGCCTGGTGACCTTGTTGGGGAATTTCAAGGTCAAATTAGTGGATGACGAGGTGATCAACCCTGTCTACGGACTAATCACTCGTCCAGAGAAGGAAATATGGATCAAAATTGAAAAGCGATAATTTGTGTGCTAAATATTTCCTTTCAAGATAACATCTTTCAGTAGTGATGGTGACAAATAATGATACCAGGATTCAAATGAAAGTAGAGGAGTTTACCTGTCGTTAATGTGTGGGCTCGTGTGGCTCGTTGGAGTTGGACATTTTCTCGGTAACTTTATTCGATCTAAAAAAGTTAATTAAATCAAGTAAGACGAGCATGATCCCCAATCATCACACGTTGAGAATCGTTTCTGTCTGTAAAGTGTAGATACTATTCTTTCTTTCTCTTTAGCTATAAAATATGTCAATAGTCAGCCCATAGACATATTCTTATCATGAACAATATTGATTTGGGTGCCAGAGGTCAAAATCACTATTAGCTAAAAATAGAATTTTGCTTCATTGCGTTTATCCCGATAAGAACATTATAATGAATCATATTGTCATACAAATTTCAAACATGCTGTATGGACAGACCTATCATGTATACTCCCCTGATCTTTGGTGTATTTTTTAAATGGATGATTATACAATGTCTGCATTTCATACATAAATATTGTAAAACAGATAATACAGATTAGTGTTCTAGTTCCTTGATCTTCTGGTTCACTTACCCATTATCGACCAATAGCAAATCCGCTGGGGGAGGGGTGGATGCTGTGTAAGCTTGGTGGTTGTTTTGTGTAATTTTACTGTGATATTAAATTTTGAATGATTAGATATTATAATAAAGCTATCATATTGCCACAAAATGTGTTGCATGGTTTGTTTTGGCAAGGTCGATTCGTTGTGGAATCTTCACTGATGTTATTGGTTAATTTACACTTTATGCATCATTGCCAAGCACCTAACGGATGGTACTTAAGTATGGTAGATCTACATTGACGAACGCTTAACGGATAGAGCTAGTAAGTTATACATTAACGGATAGTTCTACATAGACGTACACTAAACGGGTAGAGATAATTAGTTATACATTAACAACTAGTTCTACATAGACGTACACTTAACGGGTAGAGATAGTTAGTTATACATTAACGGATAGTTCTACATAGACGTACACTTAACGGGTAGAGCTAGTTAGTTATACATTAACAACTAGTTCTACATAGACGAACACTTAACGGGTAGAGATAATTAGTTATACATTAACAACTAGTTCTACATAGACGACCACTTAACGGGTAGAGATAATTAGTCATACATTAACGGATAGTTCCACATAGACGAACACTAAACGGGTAGAGAGAGTTAGTTATACATTAACAACTAGTTCTACATAGACGAACACTAAACGGGTAGAGATAGTTATACATTAACAAATGGTTCTACATAGATTTTCGTTTAACGAGATAGTTAGTCCTACATTAACGGGTAGTTATACATAGACGAACACTTAACAGATAGAGCTAGTTAGTATAGATAACAAGTAGTTCTACATAGACGTTCACTTAACGGGTAGTTATACATTAACGGATAGTTCTACCCGTTAAGTGTACGTCTATGGAGAACTAGTTGTTAATGTATAACTAGTTCTACATAGACGAACACTTAACGGGTAGAGCTAGTTTGTTATAGATAACAAGAAGTTCTACATAGACGTACACTAAACGGGTAGAGATAGTTAGTTATAGATAACACGTAGTTCTACATAGACGTTCACTTAACGGGTAGAGATAGATAGTTATGCATTAACGGATAGATTTACATAGACGTACACTTAACGGGTAGCGCTAGTTAGTTATACATTAACAACTAGTTCTACATAGACGACCACTTAACGGGTAGAGATAATTAGTCATACATTAACGGATAGTTCCACATAGACGAACACTAAACGGGTAGAGATAGTGAGTTATACATTAACAACTAGTTCTACATAGACGACCACTTAACGGGTAGAGATAATTAGTTATGCATTAACGGATAGTTCTACATAGACGAACACTTAACGAGATAGTTAGTCCTACATTAACGGGTAGTTATACATAGACGAACACTTAACAGATAGAGCTAGTTAGTATAGATAACAAGTAGTTCTACATAGACGAACACTTAACGGGTAGAGCTAGTTTGTTATAGATAACAAGTAGTTCTGCATAGACGAACACTTAACGGGTAGAGCTAGTTTGTTATAGATAACAAGTAGTTCTGCATAGACGTTAACTTAACGGGTAGAGATAATTAGTTATGCATTAACGGATAGTTCTACATAGACGTACACTAAACGGGGAGAGATAATTAGTTATACATTAACAAATAGTTCTACATAGAAGAACTCTTAACGGGTAGAGCTAGTTAGTTGTAGATAACAAGTAGTTCTGCATAGACGAACACTTAACGGGTAGAGATAGGTAGTTATAGATAACAAGTAGTTCTACATAGACGTACACTAAACGGGCAGAGATAGTTAGTTATACATTAACAAATAGTTCTACATAGACGAACACCTAACGGGTAGAGATAGTTAGTTATAGATAAAACGTAGTTCTACATAGACGTTCACTTAACGGGTAGTTATACATTAACGGATAGTTCTAAATAGACGGACACTTAACGGGTAGAGGTAGTTAGTTATACATTAACAAATAGTTCTACATAGACGAACTCTTAACGGGTAGAGCGAGTTAGTTATAGATAACAAGTAGTTCTGCATAGACGTTAACTTAATGGGTAGAGCTAGTTAGTTATAGATAACAATAGTTCTGCATAGAGTTACCCTTAACGGGTAGAGCTAGTTAGTTATCCATTAACAACTAGTTCTACATAGACGTTCACTTAACGGGTAGAGATAGTTAGTTATGCATTAACGGATAGTTCTACATAGACGGACACTTAACGGGGAGAGATAGTTAGTTATACATTAACAAATAGTTCTACATAGCCGAACACTAAACGGGTAGAGATAGTTATACATTAACAAATGGTTCTACATAGACGTCCACTTAACGGGTAGAGATAGTTAGTTATGCATTAACGGATAGTTCTACATAGACGAACACTTAACGGGTACAGATAATTAGTTATACATTAACGGATAGCTCTACATAGACGGACACTTAACGGGGAGAGATAATTAGTTATACATTAACAAATAGTTCTACATAGACGGACACTTAACGGGGAGAGATAATTAGTTATACATTAACAAATAGTTCTGCATAGACGAACTCTTAACGGGTAGAGCTAGTTAGTTATCCATTAACAACTAGTTCTACATAGACGTACACTTACCGGGTAGAGATAGTTAGTTATACATTGACAACTAGTTCTACATAGACGTACACTTACCGGGTAGAGATAGTTAGTTATACATTAACGGCTAGATCTACATAGACATACACTTAACGGGTAGAGCTAGTTAGTTATAGATAACAAGTAGTTCTGCATAGACGTTAACTTAATGGGTAGAGCTAGTTAGTTATAGATAACAATAGTTCTGCATAGAGTTACACTTAACGGGTAGAGCTAGTTAGTTATAGATAACAAGTAGTTCTACATAGACGTACACTAAACGGGTAGAGATAGTTAGTTATACATAACAAGTAGTTCTACATAGACGAACATTTAACGGGAAGAGCTATATTGTTATAGATAACAAGTAGTTCTACATAGACGTACACTAAACGGGTAGAGATAGTTAGGTATAGATAACAAGTAGTTCTACATAGACGTACACTAAACGGGTAGAGATAGTTAGTTATAGATAACAAGTAGTTCTACATAGACGAACATTTAACGGGTAGAGCTATATTGTTATAGATAACAAGTAGTTCTACATAGACGTACACTAAACGGGTAGAGATAGTTAGTTATAGATAACAAGTAGTTCTACATAGACGTTCACTTAACGGGTAGAGATAGTTAGTTATACATTAACAAATAGTTCTACATAGACGAACTCTTAACGGGTAGAGCTAGTTAGTTATAGAAAACAAGTAGTTCTGCATAGACGTTAACTTAACGGGTAGAGCTAGTTAGTTATAGATAACAATAGTTCTGCATAGAGTTACACTTAATGGGTAGAGCTAGTTAGTTATAGATAACAAGTAGTTCTACATAGACATACTCTTAACGGGTAGAGCTAGTTAGTTATAGATAACAATAGTTCTGCATAGAGTTACACTTAATGGGTAGAGCTAGTTAGTTATAGATAACAAGTAGTTCTACATAGACATACTCTTAACGGGTAGAGCTAGTTAGTTATAGAAAACAAGTAGTTCTGCATAGCCGTTAACTTAACGGGTAGAGCTAGTTAGTTATAGATAACAATAGTTCTGCATAGAGTTACACTTAACGGGTAGAGCTAGTTAGTTATAGATAACAAGTAGTTCTACACAGATATACACTAAACGGGTAGAGATAGTTAGTTATACATTAACAAATAGTTCTACATAGACGTTCACTTAACGGGTAAGGCTAGTTAGTTATAGATAACAAGTAGTTCTACACAGATATACACTTAACGGGTAGAGATAGTTAGTTATAGATAACAAGTAGTTCTACATAGACGTACACTTAACATATAGAGATATTTAGTTATAGATAACAAGTAGTTCTGCATAGACGTGCACTTAACGGGTAGAGCTAGTTAGGTATAGATAACATGTAGTTCTACATAGACGTACACCTAAAAGATAGAGATAGTTAGTTATAGATAACACGTAGTTTTACATAGACGTGCACTTAACGGTTAGAGTTAGTTAGTAATAGATAACAAGTAGTTCAACATAGACGTGCACTTAACCGGTAGCGTTGGTTTGTTATAGATAACAAGTAGTTCTGCATAGACGAACACTTAACGGGTAGAGATAGTTAGTTATAGATAACAAGTAGTTCTACATAGACGAACTCTTAACGGGTAAAGCTAGTTAGTTATAGATTATAAGTAGTTCTACATAGACGAACTGTTAACGGGTAGAGCTAGTTAGGTATAGATAACATGTAGTTCTACATAGACGAACTCTTAACGAGTAGAGCTAGTTAGTTATAGATAACAAGTAGTTCTGCATAGACGTTCA